GTGTACCCCTAGCTTAATTCAATATTATATTGTTCAAGAAATAGAGGAGGACAAGACTCCTCCATATGTAATTGATGAAAACCATTCCCCATCCCACAAAAAATCTGCATGCCCTCAAAATGCTCACAACCCCTTGAATTAATTCTTGTGTATCACATACCCTTTCTGCTCATTCCAATTAATTAATTTATTTATTAACTCACCATTTGTTTAATTAATCATCTCCTACCTCTTATATTTTCTTTTCTTTTGTGGTTATCATTAATAGTAATTTTATCCCATCACAATTGAACAATTATTAGGTCTCCATCAAAGTTTCATCATCAATCAATCTCATCTTTATTTTTGAGCACTACGTACATTGCAGAAAATGGTATGTGTTCCCATTCATTTTTTCCTCTCTTCAATAGATTGGATTTATTATTCACTGCCTATATATATCATGCATGCACACCATTTGTTTTATTAATCTCTTTAATAGGCCGGTATTTATAACTATTTGTCATGTTACATTGTTACTAAACATATAATCCCTATGTATATTCCTTGAATTGCTATACGTATATACCCAACAAAGTTTAGGCATGCATGCAATGCAATGGGGAAGATCGAACCATGGGGTAGGTGGTGGGGCCCTTTATCCCAAATATCGTCATGTTTGGAAACCGCAATTTAAATTTCAAATTTAGATTTGACTCAAATTCCATATTTGGAAAATTCTAAAAAAAAATTGGTTTTATATTTTTCTGATTCATAATATTGCTTACTACATTAATACTCCGTAACTTAATTTCAAATCATATGTCTCTTCTTGTCATTTTAAATTCAAAAATTTAAATTTTGAAATTGAGATGCAATAATTGAAATGAAATGTTAGTTCTCAAATACTACCTTAATACTCCGTAACTTAATTCATTCGTCTTATATCTTTCTTCTTATTTTGAATTTTGAGAACTTGGCATTTCATATATTCCCTCCGTCCCAGAGTATTTGTCCACTTTTATTTTTACAGACCATTCAATACACTTCTTTAATCCATTTTATCTTGTAATTTGTATATTATTAAAAAATTATAGAAATTATATATTCATAATCTATATGTTAAGACAAATCAAACAAGATCACACATGACTATATTTAGCCTTACACATTGAGAGAATTTGATGAGTCAAAGTGCTTAGATGAACAGTTCCAAAAGTCAAAAGTGGACGAATATAGCGAGACGGAGGGAGTATCAAATATTGAACATTGAACTTTGAATCTTGAAATATATTGAATTTAATATATTTCGAATGAAACTTTGAATCTTGATACTCCGTATATATTAATTGAACTCAATATATTTCAAAACCCAAATTAAATCTTTTGATATTACTAGTATTTTGACCCCTGCCATGCACGGGGCTGAACAAAAAAATTTTCAATTCTTTTTTTCATGTATTATTTTTTGTGGATTAAATAAAATAAATTTCTTACATGATTTTTAATACTATATATACATCAACATCAAAATAGAATAAATATTATTTGAAGAATTGAAAGTATATACAACACAAAGACTTAGTAAAATTCAAATTTTTTGAAACACTTCAGAGTATGCAACATTTTTGGTATGGTTGCAAGAGTTTCTATTGTCATCTAAAATAAACATTTTTAATTATGTATTTTTCTTCACTCGTGGAAACTATTGGAAATTGTCTTTTTTGAAACTTTAGGGGGTAGCCTTGGATTATGTGGTACCAAATTTATTCGAGGTATGTAAACCTTTTTCCCGTCTCAATTTCTCGAAACCACGATTGCACGGTTAACATTTTTTCGTACCTCTTCAACAATTAATCTTGTACCATTATACAATCCAAATAACATAATCAGTACACTTTTTTTCAAAACTATTTTTTGAATTTGTTTGGGATCCCCGAACATCTGGACATTTGATTTCATTCAAAAATTCAAATCTTATCCAATAAGCATCAACACCTACATTGGCATTTGCTTGCCATTAAGAATCATAACTCAATTACTCCTTTTTCATCACTGAGAATGAGGAATAAGACAAACTCATTTATCATTTCAACAACTTCGAGAGTGGGTGCTAATGGTGCCTAATCCTAAAAAAAGAATATTTTTTCATATTCTCCAATAACTTCAGATAAGTGAATTCCAGTACTATACTCTTGGGAGGATAGCTTATGTCAAGAATCAAGAATCCAGTCAGAATTTTAACGTCAGCAATTCCACCAATCACTTGACCAAGCTTTCCATCTCCAATTTTGATTATCTAATCAGAAAAAGCTTGTGTATCCCTATCTAGGTAAGAGGACA